TCATCTTAAATATTCTAATATACTAAAATCACTGTGATGTGCAACAATTATAGTGTTATCTGGGCTGACAAGTCAGCTCAGTTGGTCAGAGCACAGTGCTGATAACACCAAGATCCAGGGTTCGATCCCTGTACTGGCCAGCCACCAAAACAAAAACAAAAAAATACACTGTTACTGAGTTAATTTATTTTTTCTTTTTTAAAAGATGACCAGTAAGGGGATCTTAACCCTTGACTTGGTGTTGTCAGCACCATGCTCACCCAGTGAGCCAACCGGCCATCCCTACACGGGATCTGAACCCGCGGCCCTGGTACTATCAGCACCGCACTCTCCCGAGTGAGCCACGGGCCGGCCCCTTAGTTAATATTTTAATAAAGTTATTATTACTTGGACTATTTACTAGAAAAAAAAAATACTCACAATATGAACATTTGACACAAGACTATTCAGAATATATACAGAATTCTTATAAAATAGTTAACAAAGGGCTGGCCAGTTAGCTCATCTGGGAGGGCATGGTGCTGAGAACATTAAGGTCAAGGGTTCAGATCCCTGAACCTGCCAGCTGCTAAAAAAAAGAAAAAACAAAAAACTGGAACCAAACAAAGAAATAGGAATAAAAAGACAAACACCATAAAAAATGGGATAGATGCTCCACAAAAGATAAACAGGTGGACGATATGCATATGAGAAGACATCCAACATCTCCAGGGAGACTCAGATTAAAACCAAATGAAGTGCCGCCCACACCCCAGAGTGGCTAAATGTGAAAAGACAGGAGTACCCGGAGCCCTCCCACCCCACTGATAGGTGTGAATGCCACAGCCACCATGGAAAATCGTTTGGCAGTCTCATATCAGTTAGAACATACCGACTCTACAACCCAGCAACTCTACTCCAGGTATTCAATAAGCAAAATAAAAATGTGTCCGCAAAAGAGACTTGCACACAATGTCCACACAGCTTTATTCATAACAGCCTGGACTGGAAGCAACCCAGTTGTCCATCTGAAGGTGAACAGGTAAGTTGCATTACATCCATAAAATACACCACTAGTCAACAATAAAAAGGAAGAAACCATAATTACCCACAACATGACTAAATCTCAGAAGCATGTGCTGAGCAAAAGAGGCCAGATACAAATGAACACGTTCTGTGTAGCTCCATTTATATGAAATTCTGGAGCAGGCACAACTAATACACAGTGACAGAAGCAGCTCAGTGGTTGCTTGGAGTGAGGCACAGGGTTGGAAATATTGATGTAAATCTTTTGTAACTGGGTGGTGATAGTTACATTGGTGTATACATTTGTCAAAACTGAAATTGGACACTTAAAATGCGTGCACTTCATTACATATAAAAAATACTTCAATAGAGTTGATTTTTAAAAGCCACTCTAACTGAAATGGGAAAGATGATTTCTAATCTAAGGCTGAAGAAACTCACCCAATGGGGCTGGCCTGTGGCTCACTCAGGAGAGTGTGGTGCTGATAACACCAAGGCCATGGGTTTGGATACCATATAGGGATGACAGGTTAGCTCACTGGGTGAGCATGGTGCTGACGACACCAAGTCAAGGGTTAAGATCCCCTTGCTGGTCATCTTTTAGGAGAAAAAAAAAAAAAAGAAAGAAAGAAACCACCCAAGAGCCAGCAATGAGGACAGTCAAAGCTATAAAGTAGCACAGGAGGGTGAGCACCAGCACCAGGCTTGGGCTCTGCGTCCTTCTCCCCAGGAGAGCACAGTCTGCCCCTAGAAGTGTTTCTAAGTACAGTCAGCCCTCCATATCCATGGGTTCCACATCAGCGGTTTCAACCAAGGGCAGATGAAAAATATTCAGGAAAAAAAAAAATCAAAAACAACAATACGAGAATACAAAATAATACAAATTTAGAAAACAACACAGAATAACAACTATTTACACAGCATTTAAATTGTATTAGGTACTATAAATGACCTAGAGATGATTTAAAGTATACGGGGGACATGAGAGGATGTGCGTAGATCCTATGCAAATTTTTTTTTTTTTTCCTTTTTGTCTTTTTTCGTGTCCAGCAACGGATCACAACCCTCAGTGTCGCACCCGCACCAGACCAGGACCGGCAACGGGATCTCAACCCTCGGTGCTGCGCCCGCACCTCGCTCAGCCAGTGAGCAGGAACCGGTCTGCATGTGGGATCCGAACCCCCGGCGGGAGCGCCACTGCGCTCCCAAGCGGCGCACTGCAGCATGCGCCACCGGGCCGGCCCCTATGCAAATTATTGAGCCACTTTACATCAGGGACTTGAGCATCCGTGGATGAGGAAGGTCCTGGAACCAACCCCCACGGGTACCAAGGGACGACTGTAAGCCACACAGGCTCATGTGTTTCTAGTGAAGTTCTTTTGTTCTCTTCACTAGTTTTCAACATCATGTTATGTCTACACTGGTTGAGGGCTGATCATGTGCCCAGCATACACTAAAGGCTGTAATCCTCATGAAAACCCTATGAGGTAAATAAGATCATCCCCAAGAAATGTGGAAGCCAAAGCTTACACTAATTTTCTGGTCCAAGTTCTCAGAGCTTTGAAGAGGTGGAGTCAGGATTCAAACCCAGTTCTTTCTGACCCCACAGCCCCATGCACACACTCTGACCACAGACAGTGAGGATCTATCTATCTCATGCAGTGGCTATGTGCACACCTACTGGGGGCCAGACACTGTTCTGGGGGGGGGACACATCAGTGAACAACAAAGTTCCTGTTTCCATGAAGTTTATGCTCCAGCAGCAGGGGACAAGCAGCACAAACAAAAAGAATATGTAACGCACACAGTACATTTGGTGAATAATTGCCACGGAAAGAGGAAAAAGGCCAGACTAAAGGGGTTGAAAACGTGGGGCGAGTATCTCTTTAAGAGCAGGCAAGACTGAGGTGAGAGCTGAGCACAGCATGAGGGAGGCATCCTGGGCAGAGTGGTAAGGCTGGGGTAGAGTGAACATGACTAGCAAGAGATGAGGTGGGAGTGCTAACAGGGCAGACTGGGCCAGCCTGGGGCCACCGGGGGACTGTTGGGAAAGGAGGGCTATGATCAGCGTGTGTTCAGAACAGACTGCAGGGGAACAAGAGTGGAGGTGGAGGTTCAGGAAAGGCAGCCATGCTCCCTGTGCACCTGATTCCAGCACAGGACTTCCTAACAGTCTGTATGTGGGTGTGGGAGACACCAGGGATGGTTGGTCTTGGCAAAAAGAAGAATGGAGAGGCACTCAACAGAGACAGGGAAGATGGAAGAGCAAGTTGGGGCCAGTTAATGTTCTGATGCATGGAGATTAAGATGTCTATGAGACATCTAAGGGGAGACAGATGTTGAGTTGATGTATGAATCCAGAGAGCTGGAAGGAGGTCTGAGCTGGATATTAATCGCCCATCAGAAAGGAGAAGGGCAAAGGTCTCAGCAGGAATGGACCCTGGGCCCTTCTGACCTGGCTGGTTTCATGGGGGACCACATAAGCACCATTCTTCTCCATTCACACAATCACCTGTTGGCTTTTTCAATTCTCTCAAACACGCTACCCCATCCATTTACCGAGCTTTCTTCATCAGCAGGAAAGAGATAAACACCATGATGTGGTTGTAAAAGCACAAGTTTTGAGTAAGAAAGTCTGGATTTAAACTGCAGATATCACTTACACTTCTCCGCCATGGGGTCTTCATTTGTACAATGGGGACAGTGTTGTCTCCTCCTTTACTGTGATCATTACATGAGATAACAGCAGTGCCTGGCACATGCCAATGCCCTCCAAATAACAGTTATTCTGGAAAGACTAAGCCTGGAGGGTATAGGAATAAGGAGAAAGTACCACTTGATAAAAGGTCCATGTAAGTAGTCGACTTCAGCCCAAACTGGTTCCAGCTGGTTAACATCTGGGACGGCAATAAAAACTGGAGGGTCTTGAGAGAAGTCAGAAAATGACGGGCAAAATTAAGGATAAATGATGTGCTGTCTCGGATGTGCTTTTAAATCATCCAAGGGGAGAAGGTGCTGAAGAATCAAGCAGCACGACTGCCGTGTGTCAATAATCATGGGAACTGGTGATAGGCATGTGAAGGTTACTTGTACTACTCTAGTATATGTTCCAAGTTTTTCATAATAAAAAAGTTAAAAAGAAAGATGACGAGAAACGGGGTGGTAGTGAGGGAGTTACTTTAGGGAGAATCAAAAGAGGGGATGGAGAGTACTGAGAATTTCAAGAAGGGACTTCCGTCCCAATGCACCAGAGATTATGAGGTGAGACCGTCTCTTAGGTCAAGTGGAAAGGTCAATAATCTCTAAACCGAACTCCCGTTTAGGACAATCCCCACCGTCTTAGTATGGGCCCCTTAACTTGCCAACACTGCAAGATCAAGCGAGAGCTTACAAAGGGGTGCTGGTTTTTCCACGACTTTAAGACCCAGTGCTTACTGTTCGTTCACGCATTCAGCAAATAGTCATTGAAGCCCTACTAGTGCCGGGCACGCAGTGCTGAGTGAGCAAAACAAATGTCACCTGCCCGCACAGAGAAATCGGAGAAGCCACAACCAGATAACCCACACGCCAAAGGTATGGACTGAGGCTGGCGCTGCCGAGAAAAATGTCACGGGACCTGATGGCAATTCACACTGACTGTGTTATTTCTCTGTAAGAACAAGACAGGACGTCCTGGGTAGGCAGTGGTGCGGTGAAGATTAAAGCGGAGTGTCTGCAAAGGGCCTGCAAGTGCGTGGCTGACATGCTCAACCCTGCAATCAAAGGAAGTCCCCTAGAGACCCAGAGAAGTGAAGCCCCGCCCACCCACGACAGCGCGCTTAGCCCCGCCCCCGCCCACACTTAGCCCCGCCCTCCCCACTGAAGTCCAAATCCATGTAACCTCCCCCTGGCGTCACGACCCCGCCCGCTCCACCGGAGTCCACGCCCATCTCTGCATCGCCCCGCCCCCGCGCAGACCAGTCTCTCACCCTGCCCCCCGGCCGCCTCCTCCTCACCAGCTCGAACCGGTTGTTGACTCGGACGCCCTCCTTCGCTGCGTCCCCGGGGCGCCGGCCACCCGGCCGCCTTTTTGGCCCTTCTTCTTCCGCATCGTCGTCATCACGAAGGACAAACTGCAGGGCGCCGGGCCCGAGGGGCTCCTGACCGCGCTGTTCCCCCCTCAGCCTCCGGAGGGCCCGACGCGACATAGGACCCAACAGCTACTGGCGTCTGGAGATCGGGAGAAGGAAGAGCCCAAAGGAGAGCAGCCGGCGCGCCTGCGCACTTACGGCGCGCTGGCGCGAAGCTGGCGTGTCGTGCCTGCGCGCTGCGGCTCTCCGAAACTTCCTGTGCGACTCCCCGGAACTTCCCGTGCGACTCGGCGGCGTCAGAGAAGGTGCAGCCGTATCCGCGCGAGTTATCGCGAGAGGCGGGCGCCTACGGACGGCGGGTCCCGCTGGCAGCTTCGTGTGGCGTCTCTGCAGGTCTTAGCTTGACGCCAGGACAGAGGACGGGCTATGACGGGGGCGGGGGCGCACGGCTCCGAGCGACCTGCACCCGCGGCCTGCGCTCTGGGTCTGAGTGCGGGGGGCCGGGGGGCCGGGAGGCACATCAGGCGAGGGCCGAGTAAGGAAGGGGTGTGCGCAGGTGCACATGCTGCCGTATCCGCGCGAGTTAGCGCGAGAGGCGGGCGCCTACGGACGGCGGGTCCCGCTGGCAGCTTCGTGTGGCGTCTCTGCAGGTCTTAGCTTGACGCCAGGACAGAGGACGGGCTATGACGGGGGCGGGGGCGCACGGCTCCGAGCGACCTGCACCCGCGGCCTGCGCTCTGGGTCTGAGTGCGGGGGGCCGGGGGGCCGGGAGGCACATCAGGCGAGGGCCGAGTAAGGAAGGGGTGTGCGCAGGTGCACATGCTGCAGCGCGGGGACAGCAGGTGGCAGCTGAGCGGGGCTAGGAGGGCCCAGGTCCCCGCGGCGCATGGCCTGCCTGTGTTTTCCGGCACCCATAACTCCTCTCAGCCTGCTTCTACGGCTGCGAAGGGACATATACACATAAAAACCGAAGAGCTTCCCAAAGTTGCTGATTTCTGGACTCCCCTACCCCAAGATAGACTGAACCGAATCTTAGGGATAGGTCCTGGGAGTTTGCTTTTTGTTGTCCTTAATGCAACAGGTGACTCTCCCGGGAGTCAGTGGTCTGGGTCGAAGCCCTCCACCCTTGTGCACCCTAAGCTCCTCGGGAGATTTTTGCAACAGAGATACAAGGACCACCCTGAGATTCCGAGGTGGGGTCCGGCGTCGATATTTTTGAAAACTTCTTCCAGGGCAGCCTGGATTGAGAACCGCCGAGTCCAAATGCAGGAGCAGACGAACTGGTGCTGGGGTAGGGTCCCCTCCCCACTGTGACAGCAGAGAGGAGAGGGCCCTCACTGCAGATCTAGGCCAGGCACTGTACTGAATTCTTAGCCCATCCTGGGGGCAGGTGTCCCCCTTTTGCAGGTGAAAAAGCTGGAGACTCAGGATAAGTAACAGGTCCAGAGGGAACGGTGTTTTGCATCTGGGTTTGTGAATCAAGTCCAAGTGAGGAGGGCTGCTGCGAGGACAGAGAGGGGAGGCGGGGCAGGGTGGGTCCCGGTCTCTGGGATCCCTCTCCCCTGACTCCATCCTTGGCTGTGGGCCTGCACCTCCCCGAGCTCCACCTCCACCCTGCCTCCCTCAGGAGTCCCCATCTTCACTTAGGTCAAGAATTGAATCAAAGTGTTGCTCTCTGGAGAGTGTGCATGGCGGGTCTGTGAGCTGCCCTGCCTCTAGCAGGTGCTAGAGTCTTGAAATACTTCTCAGTGGCTGGCACGTAGCTGCTGCCTCAAGCCCTCTACCTGCCCCACCCGATCCAGCCACTCCTGCAGAGTCCCCTAGTCCCTTCCCCCAATCCAGCAGCTGCAGGGTGTGCGCAGCCACCACCCTTGTGTCTCTTCTGACTGTTCAGGACCAGGCTAGTTGTTACTTTTTGTGTCACCCGTGGTCAGGTGGTATGACAAATTTATGCAGGCTCCTTGCTTGGCCTGTGACAGAAATGGGGGGGGGGGGGGG